CCCCGTGGTGTCCGTGGGAGCCTGACCTCCAATGCCTGCTTCTTGTACTCCTGCTTCAATGGGGGCATATTGCCACATACAATCCTGGGCCCAAGATCATTCCACCAGGAAGTCCCCCACCCTCACCCCAGGCGAGGCATGTCTGCCCCTGAGGCAGAAACTCCCCCCCCCCCCAAGTATTTAACAGATGACAACTGAACACATCAGGTACAGACACAGGTCCTTTTGCAACAGCTGGTCTGGGGGCCAGGAGCAGCCCTTGATGGCTCCCCACTATCTTCAAGTTCTTTGTGTCTTTATCGGTGGCACTCCGCATGAAATCTTACATGGGATCAATAGCAGTGTTTGACGGGTATACATTTATTTTATGATATAATTATGGTGTACAACTTCTTTTATAAGTTCAAGTTTATAACATTCATCTGTTATAAACTGAATCAGTAAAGGGAAAGTCACTTTTTTTTTTAATGAATGCACATTTTGAGATCGCTGCAATGTTTTTAAAAAAATTAGCTTTGGTATGCAATTTTATTTTCTATCAAGGAAATCTGGAATCACAGAAGTGGTTGCATATGGTAACATTGTAAAACAAAATAAAACAAGATTTTGTTTCCCAATCACAGGATGCCCTTCGATTTAGCCGATCCAGGAGCCCACCAAAGGGAAGAAGATACTCGGGATTCAGAATGGAATCACTGTTGACATCCAGGATCTTCTCATCCTCCCAAAGGGCAGGAACTCAAAGAGGGAGTGTGGAAGTGAGTCTGTATGTTCATCAGAGGGTAGAAAATACTTTATACAATGTATCACATGAAGTCTGGGCATTAAGTCCTTCCTCCAAAGTTTCAAAACATTCACTTTCATGTATTGGTTTCCTTGTTGCCACTTGTTCCACATTGGCACAAATGGCAACACTGTAACACTGACCCCTCCCCCCCAACCAGGAGCCTTGGAACTTAGTAAAAGTATGAAGACTCCTTCAGGAATAGTGCTTTCAAGCCATATGAGGCATAAGAACCAATTAAGGAACTTGGGGAAAATGGGGTGCTCCTGGAGATGCCCACAGGGGTAAATGCTGTCCCGTTGATGTGACCACATCCTGCTGACTTTGGGTGGGAGCTGGTCCCAGGCCTGAGTGTCCTACCAGCAGCGCTGAGCTGAATGTGACCCTCGTAAGTACAGCTGTGTACTTGATGGCATAGTGTTACATGAGCAGACGTGCACAGGCCAGAATGGAACGAAACAAAGCGAAGCAAGAAAGGCTAGGATAATTGCCTCCTAATCAATGACACATTTGTAAGGAATCCAGATCTTTCTACAACTTGGCAGGGAAGAGCTTCATTCTGAGGTAAATCCAGAAATGGGCTCCTCTAGTCGTAACAGTTAACACTTTGATGTCTCTAGAACATTAATGGGTGATGCAGAGTACGTGTTCCTGCATCTGGCTTATTTGATCACACTTAAAAATGTTTAAGAGTTAAGTCTATCCTGAGGCACTCTTACAAAATGTGGATCAGGGAGGGGTCCTCGGACACACTCAGCAACTGCCGATCGTGCCAGGACCCGTCCTCAGAGCAGGTATGATCTCATGAATCCTTGAGGTTTCCCTAAGCACTTGATTTCTATGGTTATCCCCATTTTACAGTTGGGAAAACAGAGACCTGGAATGGCAAAGTAATAGCACCCACAGCTATTTGCAGCTCAGCTGCTTTCCCTACCTTATTTTCACTCGTGCTTGCAAGGCACTGGCCAAGCAGAACCCTCCTCTCTTCCTGGAGAGCATGATTTCTTGCCTCTGGGCCTTTGCTCTACTGAATTTCCATTCCCTTTGGCTCCATTAAATACCACCGCCTTCAAGATTGTTGCCCTCCTACTGGAGGGTTTCTGGCTCGTGAGGATCACTGCTGTCCCTTGATAGGGAGCCTCTTCTGGACTCTGTGTCTTTGTTGGGTCTTCTCAGGAGCAGAAGCAGCAGGACCCAGGTCCATCCCTCCCTGAACTGCCGGCTGCCCCCTGCCCTGCCCCGCACATTCTAAACACTGGGATTTATTTATAGAGTAAATGTCTGTAGCAGATTTTGGTTTTGTTTTTGTTTTTTTTAAGATTTTATTTGTCAGAGAAAGAGAGAGAGTGCATAAGCAGGGGGAGCGGCACGCAGAGGGAGAAGCAGGCGCCCCACTGAGCAAGGAGCCAAATGCTGGACTCCATCCCAGAATCCTGGGATCATGACCCAAGCCGAAGGCAGACACTTAACCAACTGAGCCACCCAAGCGTCCCACAGATTTTGATTTTTTTCCTTGAAAGAGGAACATATACCACTGTGTAAGAAAGACTATTTTACCAGCAATACAATTATATCTGGGTTTTTTGTTTGTTTTTGAGAATGTTTTGATCTCCACAAAATTATGTGTGGACTTGGGTTGTGTGTTTATCAAGGCTGCTTAGTTGGAAATGGTTAATAAAGGATTGAGTCAGCCTTGGTCCCAGACCCAGGTAATGAGCACGTTGTGTGGGGAGGAGGAGACAAAAGGGCAGTTGACAAAGCCTGACCACATGTTAACCGCTCAGATACTGAGCACTCCTACCTGCACGCCCAGAGCCGCTCTGCACACTTCTACTTTTTTTGTCCCCCTTACCCCTGACCACAACCGTGTGAGATGGGCTCTGTTATCACCTCCCTGTCACAGATCGGGACAGAGAGGCGCAGGTTATACAGTGACCTGCCCAAGGCCCCTCAGTGGGGAAGGGGTAGTTTGGGCTCCAGGCCAGTTTGAATATGACTGAAGGAGAAGGCTGAATACAATCTTGTGAAATGTTTGCGGGGATCCAAGCTGGGATGGTCAAAGCTCGCAGAGGGGAATTCTCTTTGGGAAATATACCCGATAAGCTGTTGGGATGGAAGGAGGACTCAAAGTGTTTTAGCAACAGTGTCAGATTGCTGGGTGCAAGAAAATGAGAGGAATTTTGGTTTTGCCCTAATGTTAGAAGTAGTCACACAGCCAAGTTCAGGGTCCCCAACAAGAAAATACGATGTCGGGACAGCCAAAATAAAACAGCAGTAACATCCTGTTCTGCAGCTTAGACAGGCCTCGCACTCACATTCCGCTTTCCAGCCCCTGCAGAAATGACTTCTGCAAAATGTTCTCAAATAAGACAATTAACCACAAAGCATTTGTCACCGTCATGGGCAAGGGGCAGTTAAAACCCAAGCCCCCCAATGTCAGCCACAGAAGCCCGTCAGCGCATGGCCACAAACCTATTAGGTAGACAGATACATGACCAAAGCCCTGATTGGCCCGACCCAGCACAGCCTGGTTACTTAAGACAGTTCTGCAAAAGATCTTGTAAAACTCCCAAACTTAGAAACTCCAGGGGCAGCCCTCTCAGGTGCCCTCCCTCTCCGGGAGCTTTGTCCTATCACTCAGTAAACTTTGGTTTGATGCCCACCTCTCTTCTTCTGGAATCTACCTCTTCATTCCTCAAAGCGGCGTGACCAAGAACCACAGGCACCAAGGGGACAAAAATCCTGTAACATTAAGAAGGAAAGAAAGAGGGACGCCTGGGTGGCTCAGTTGGTTGAGCCGCTGCCTTCGGCTCGGGTCATGATCCCGGGGTCCTGGGATCGAGTCCTACATCGGGCTCCTTGTTCAGTGGGGAGCCTGCTTCTCTCTCTGCCTCTGCCTGCCTCTCTGCCTGCTTGTGTTCTCCCTCCCTCTCTCTCTCTGACAAATAAATAAATCTTAAAAAAAAAAAAAGAGAAGGAAAGAGACAGGAAAGGGGCCAATGTGTAGATGGTAGAGCGCTGCCTGGGTCACGTGGTAGGAAGTGACCTCTGGGGCTAGGAGGTTCAGAAAGGCTCAGGGGCTGTCTTGTTGCTGGCCAGTGCCAGGCTCGCCGTCTCCCTGTGGTGTCCGGTCTGCGGAAACTCCTTCCAGCCTCACCAGGCTTGGTGTGAAGGGGGACGTGTGTGAGCGTGTGTGTACAGGGGAAGGGGATGAGGGCGAGGACTGACGGGCGGATGGGGAAGAGCAGGAGGCTGGAGGCCCACGCCACTGGCCAGCACCCGTTCAGAAACCTCCAGCAGTGATCATAGGCACAATGCTACTTTCCAAACAATTTGGAAAGTGAAAAACCACTCTATTTCTTTGTGGTCTCTCTCAGTTCCTATCCATAGGTGGTGGAATCATACAGTCCCCACCATTTTGTGTCCTGCTTTCCCTTTGACCATTTTAGCTGAAGCATTTTCCCACATTGCTACACCATCCTCGTGATTATTCTCCAGTTGGAACCAGCACACGCCTGGGTTGTGGGGGACCTGGTTTCTAATCCTGGCTCTGCCACTTACTCTCTTTACTCCAGCCATCCCCCCCCCCAGCCCCCAGCAAGTTGCTGGGGCGCCGGCTGCAGACCCTCGCTTGGGTAGCCTTTTCGCACTCTCCTGGAGGACCCCCGGAAGCAATGCTTGGAAAGCGCTGGGGTAGTGCGCCGTGAAGGTCAGCAGTTTTAGTCTTTATTCTGTCTGTAGAATGGGGCTGACACCCCAGCAGGCAAGGTCTGGTGAGAACTAGAAATAAAGTGCTCCATTGTGCAGTGCCCGGGACGCTCTCCCTGATTGCACGGTCCACACACACTCTCACACGCACTCTCTGCGGCTCCGTCCACACACACTCACACACACGCACGCACGCACTCCCCGCGGCTCCGTCCACACACACACACACACACGAACACACTCTCTCTCTCTGCCCGGCTTAAACTAAGCCGCTCAGGAGCGATCTGCACTTGTGGCGGGAATCTGAGGAAGCCCGGTTGACATTGGCTTCCCTGAGCGCCCCAGGGGAGGAAACTTCCGGAACTCCCAGTCAGGTGAGGCGCTGCCCTCCCGCGCTCCCCGCGCCTGGGTTCCAGCAGAGCCGCAGGACTCTAACCCCGGTGAACGACCCCGCCAAGCACAGCCCGGGAGCGACCCCAGGACGGTGACCCCTCACCCTAGCTCTTGCTTAAGTAGGCACTCCCCCTTTGATGGACGGGAGTCGCGCCAATGGCGCCCGGGGGCGGTCCTTCGGTGCGGCAGGGGGCGGGCCGCCTCCTGGGGCCCTGGCCCAATCGGGGCTGCCGGAGGGGCCGTGGGGCGGGGCCCGGCGCCCAGCAGCCAATGGGACGAGCACAGCGGGCGCGGCGGGGGCGGTGCACTGGTGGCTGGCGGCAGCTGCCGCCGCGGTGGGGCAGGGCAGGGCTGTGGAGCGCGGCCGGAGCGAGGGCGGTAGCCGGACCCGGAGACGCCGTCGCGGCGGGAGCGGGGTGAGCGGCGAGCCGGGAGGAGAGCGGCGGCCGAGGTGAGGGGCGCGCCGCGACGGTTGGGGCGCCGCGGGCGGGCGGCGGGGCCCGCGCCCTGTCAGGCCGCCGCGCCGGGGCCGCGCTCCGCGCCCGGGGGAAGCCTCTGCGGCCGCGCGGCCGGCGCGCGGACTTCCTGTCGCCGTGGGAGGGGGCGTGCTCGGGGGCCGCTGCGGGCGCCGAAGGCCGGGGGTGGGGGGAGCCGCCGGGGGCGGGCTTGGCGCGGGGCTGCGGGCGCCCGCGGGCGAGTTCTCGGGCGGGGGTCGCGGGCGAGCGGAGTGCGGCGGCGGGGCCCGCGGGCTGGGAGCTGCTGTCGAGGGGCAGGTGGGCGGCTGCGGGGAGGCTCGGGGAGGAGCCGCGGGCGCGCTGCGGGGAGCCCGCGGAGCCGAGGGGCGCCGAGGTTCGCTGCGGGACAGGCGGGAGGCGAGGGCGGCCGCGGGAGCGGCGCCGGAGCCCCGGGGTGGCTGGTAAGCACCAGGTGGAGGGCAGGGCTGGGTCCGACGGGTGGCGGGGGCAGGCGGGACGCGGACTCGGATGAGCTTACGGGGACACTTTGACGACCGCCCTTCCTTTCCTTCCTTTCCACCCTCCGCGTGCCTCTCCTGGCTCCACCGGGGTGCGGGCGGCGAGGCCTGCCTTGTGAGCAGCCCCTAGGGCAGGGGGCACAGGCAGGAGAGGCTGGGGCTGTTCGCCCGCTCCACCCTCGGAGTTTCCCACAGTCACTGATTCTTGGAACCGTGAGCGCCTTCTCCCTTCTGGGGTTTCCGAGCCTGCCGGGTCATCGGAGGTTCCGGGCTGGAGAAGTAGCGACTTCTGTCCTCTGATCTCACTGGTCCGTTGGGCATTTGGCGCCACCAGAGAAGGGCGATTTTCCTATCGGATGGACTTGGTCGGGAGAGCAGGCTGTGCTGCCTCCCCGCCCCCCCCCCCGCCGGCGGCCCCCCGCCCCCCCCCCCCCCCCCCCCCCCCCCCCCCCCCCCCCGCAGCTCTAGCCTCTGAGCACGCTGCTGTCCAGTTGGGTGCCCAGGGGAAGGCGGCCTTCAAGGTGGGGTGTGTGTCATCATTCCGGAGCCTTCTCTGCCGCAGCTGTCCTGTTTTTTTTTTGTGGTGAAAGGGTAGGCTGCCCAGAGTCTCCACGGCTACTCATCACACTGTTTACCAAACACTCCTTGGCTGTCCTGATGAAAATCAAGAGATTTGCTAAAGGAATTCAAACCTGAGCTGCTGTCCGTGAGCTCACAGCTTCCTTCTCTGCTCTGCAGTTCCTCCCTCCGCAGTTGGATGCTGAAGTTCTGTTTTAATCCTCCTGGGAGTGCCAGTTTGGCGCCCAGGGCAGGAAACCAACCAGGTGGGGGCTGTTGAATGCCAGCCCTCCCGTCCTGGCCCCAGATGTTCTTACTCCACTTGATTCGCAAGCCTGGTTGCAGCCTCCACATAGAGGCATTGAACAGGAGCCAGTGCAACTTGGGTTTCTCTTGATTCACATGGGAAACTCATCTGTGTGCGTTTTAACTTAATTCTGGAGCTCGGCCATCAATCTCCTGGGTGAGGTTATGCTAGTTGAGATACGAGGCCACATCAAAAACTTTTCTGTGGTGTGTGATTTTCTTTTGACAATTGTCTTCAAGCTTTAAAGAAACGGGCCGATATAGGCTGATATATTTATTACTTGGGAAAGTAACATAACCCAGAGGGATAGAAGAGTGATTAGTTCTGCGCTCTTGCTTCACTTTGTCGGAGAAGAATAAGAACTCATTTGAATGGAAACAGCTCATGCTGTTTGGGCACTGGAACTTTATTACTCTCAGTCTTAAATATATGAGAGGTCATAATATTTAAATAACCTAAAAGTATGCATATGTAAAAAACCTTGTCTGGGTTTCGGACATAGGCTGGGAGATAAGGTTGTCTTTCCCTAGTCCCGGATGCCTAATCCAGATCTCTGATAGCCAGACCATTCCTGGGGTGGGAGCTGAGGGGCATTTGTCCTTTACCTTTTCATTTTCTTCCCTATTCACTTGAAAGTTGTAGACTTTCACTTGAATTCCCTTGAAACTTGTAGACTGAGTTAAGGCCATGATGCTCAGGCTTCCTGCTTGTGACAGGGTCATCAGCGGGTTCCAGGATGTTACGGAATATCAAACAGAGTTCACAGATTCCTTAATAATAGTAATGGTACCTTTACCAAAGTAGCATTTACCAAGGGCTTTCTGGCCACCCTCACCTGAACCTTGCAGCTGACTCGCGCCTGCCTTATCTGTCATCAGATTGTCAGGGCCCTTTGCGGAGGCCACCCTGTGGATTATGGGGTAATGACCACATTCATGGGAGCCATAGTGCTGGCTCAGTTTTTTCCCCAGTTAGGTTGTTTGGAACTGCATTGGCATACCTGAGAACAGCACGGCCATGCCTCAGTTATGAAGTCAGTTTGCATTCCACAGGTAGAGACCTTTCTTTATGGCCCTGGCAGTGATCCTTCACATACCTGAACGCATCTTAGTGCCTGAAACCCGACTCCTGATGGGTCCCAGTGCTGGTCTCTGGGATGGCTGTGTAGGATTCCTTCAGATACTTAGTATTCAGATGATTATGTTCTGTCTGCTGACTGGAGACAGTCTTAAAAGAGGAATTCTCGAAGTATACTGAGAAGCATTCTGTGCCATGCGACATTCTTGGCATACGTGCAGTTCCAAAGATAACTGTTAGAAGAACACTGGCCATCTAAGACCACACGGGTTGGTAGTTTGACTAAAAGCACATAAAACAACAACAGTCTCCTTTCTTTATGTATTGATTTCTTTTTGTTCCCATGATTGCACATTTATGTTTGTTTGGTAAAATAACACCATGTAATCCATTTTTTATTTCCTAGAATAAAATCTTCATTTTGTTTTTAATTATTTTTAAAAATTTATTTGCTTATTTTAGAGGCAGAGTGTGTGTGTGTGGGTGGGGGTGCTGGGGGGGGTGTAGGGTAGGGCAGGGCAGAGAGAGAGAATCCCAAGCAGACTTGGTAGGTGCTGAGCACTGAACCTGATGCAGGGCTCTATCCCAGGACCCCGAGATCATGACCTGATGCAAAACCAAGAGTCAGACACTCAACTGACTGAGCCACTGAGGCACCCCTTAATTAATTTATTTATTTTTTCATTTTTTTTTTTTTTAAAGTTTTTATTTATTTGACAGAGATCACAAGTAGGCAGAGAGGCAGGCAGAGAGAGATGGGGAAGCAGGCTCCCTGCTGAGCAGAGAGCCCAATGCGGGGGCTTGATCCCAGGATTGAGATCATGACCTGAGCTGAACACAGAGGCTTTAACCCACTGAGCCTCCCAGGCGCCCCTCGTTCTTTCTTTTTAAAGTAATCACACCCAGTGTGGAGCCCCACACAGGGCTCAAACTCACAACCCTGAGATCAGGACCTAAGCTGAGGTCAAGAATTGGACGTTTAACTGACTGGGCCACCCAGGTGCTCCTTAAAGATTTTATTTTATTTATTTATTTATTTATTTATTTATTTTAAAGATTTTATTTATTTATTTGACAGAGATCACAAGTAGACGGAGAGGCAGGCAGAGAGAGAGAGAGAGGGAAGCAGGCACCCTGCTGAGCAGAGAGCCCGATGTGGGACTCGATCCCAGGACCCTGAGATCATGACCTGAGCCGAAGGCAGCGGCTTAATCCACTGAGCCACCCAGGTGCCCCTTATTTATTTTTTAAAAAAGATTTTATTTGTTTGACAGAGAGAGACAGCAAGAGAGGGAACACAAGCAGGGGGAGTGGGAGAAGGAGAAGCAGGCTTCCCGCTGAGCAGGGAGCCGGATGCCAGGCTTGATTCCAGGACCCTGGGACCATGACCTGAGCCAAAGGCAGACACTTAACAACTGAGTCACCCAGGTGCCCCAAGAGTTTGTTTTTAAGTAATCTGTACACCCCCAGTGTGGGGCTCAAGCTCACAACCCCAAGATTAGGAGTCACATGTTCCACTGACTGAGCCAGCCAGGTGCCCCAAAGTCTTAATTTTTTTATTTTTTAAAAGATTTTATTTACTAGAGAGAGGGAGAGAACACAAGCAGGGGGAGCAGCAGAGGGAGAGGGAGAAGCAGGCTCTCCACTGAGCAGAGAGCCCCACACAGGGCTCGATCCCAGGACCCCCAAATCATGACCCGAGCCTAAGGCAGATACTTAACCAACTGAGCCGCTCAGGTACCCCCATCTTTATTTTTTAATTGAGAAATATTTGACGTACATTAATGTGTATTTAATTTCTTTTAAAAAATTTCCATATCAGAAAATTATAGGAGTGTTTCCTGGCTGCAGGCACCAAACTAGGTAGAGAGGGGGTTACAGAAATGAAGGAAAACCTGTCTCAACCAGCAAAGAGCTCAGCAGGAAGCCTTGAGAAGACTGAGGATAGAAACTTGCTATGACTTTATTTTTTTTTTAAAGATTTCATTTATTTATTTGACAGACGGAGATCACAAGTAGGCAGAGAAGCAGGCAGAGAGAGAGGAGGAAGCAGGCTCCCTGCTGAGCGGAGAGACCGATGCGGGGGCTCGATCCCAGAACCCTGGGATCATGACCCGAGCCGAAGGCAGAGGCTTTAACCCACTGAGCCACCCAGGCGCCCCTAGAAACTTTGCTATGACTTTAGCAACCACACGTGCCACGGCTTGTGTAACACACTCTGTGGCTGTTTGAGATTTGTGTGACTTTTGTCTTCCCTAGAAATGTGGTATGGTGGGGTGGGAGGAGCATGGTTGGAGAGGAGGAGCCCTGGGCCAGCCTTCCTCTCACTTACCGTGAGGCCTAGAACAGTCACATATCTTAGGGTCTCAGTTTGTTTGTTTTAAAGACTTTATTTATTTATTTGACAGAGAGAAAGATGACAGGCAGGCAGAGAGGCAGGCAGAGAGAGAGGGGGAAGCAGGCTCCCTGCTGAGCAGACAGCCCGCACGGAGGCACCCAGGTGCCCCGGGTCTCAGTTTTTATATTTGTAGGATGAGGGGCCGAGAGGTTCTTAACCTTTTGAGAATCTGATAAAAATTGTGGCCTCATTCCCAGAAAGCATGCAGTTTCAGAAGCCAGGGCCAGATTTGGGACTCTGGGATCACCCCATCTCTAAGCTCCCTCTCACCGATGATATTCTATAATCCTATTTTCTCGGTCATCTTTGAGCTAATAATAATGTAACTTGTGTTTATAGAGGACATATTCCAAAGCATTTTCACCTCTCGTCTTTTTTGTCCTTAAAACATTTCTGGGGACGCCTGGGTGGCTCAGTTGGTTAAGCAGCTGCCTTCGGCTCAGGTCATGATCCCAGCGTCCTGGGATCGAGTCCCACATCGGGCTCCTTGCTCATCAGGGAGCCTGCTTCTCCCTCTGCCTGCCATTCTGTCTGCCTGTGCTTGCTCTCTCTCCCTCTCTCTCTCTGACAAAAAAAAAATATATATATATATAAAAATTAAAAAAAACATTTCTGAGTGGCGTGGGTGATGATGGATATTCCTTCTTGTGATGAAGAAAGGGGTACAGGACTGGCTACCACTGTGGTAGGATCACCCAGGGAGAGGCTTGTAGTGGGACCAGAACTGGGACACCTGGTTGCCGGCTTGGGGTTTTTCCATTAGGTTTTGCTTCCTTGGTGGTTGTCATTACGGAGTTTTGTGTGGCTGTGTAAATATCCCAGAATGTGTCACTTACAGAGGAAACTCTTTGCTCATCTGCTGAAACGGCTGTTTCTTGGTCTGAATTTGGATCACTGAACACCTTTCTGCCTGACTGTCAAAAGGACACTTGTTTTGTTTTTGTTATTTTTTCTTGCCATATTTTTCTCATAGGGACACAT